TCCCCCCCGCCCCCCTCACCGTCCGAGGCGATGATGTTCCCTACGTCCAGCGCTGCCACCTCGGCTGCCTCCTCCCGGCGCAGCCGCAGCGCCCGGCACCGTTCCAGAGAGGGGTTCCCTGGGGGAATGGGGGGGTTACTGGGGGGCTCTCCCGGGGAGCCCCCTGCCCCTCCCAAACCCCTCCCCCAACTCACTCCAGGGGCCCCCTTCCCTGTACCCTCAACCCCCCTCCTTGCCCCATCTCCACCCCCCCCCACCCTGCCCGCCCCCCCAACCCCCTGCCCCCATCCCCCCCCTCACCCTGCAGCCCAATGGCCTCCAGCTCCCGGCGCAAGACCCCGACCCGCTGCTTGACGGAGCGACACCCGGCCAGCAGCTTCCTGTAGTTCCGCCGCACGCCACAGGCCAGGATGTAGCGCTTCAGCCGCCGCACCGCCGGGTGCTCCTCCGCCGGGCCGGCCCCCCCGCTGCCTGGCGCCTGGGGGTGGGGACAGGTTAGGGACCGCCCCCAAGGGGAGGGGCTACAGAAAAACCGCGCTTCGTGGGAAAATCAAACGAAATTTTCCCGGGCTCAGCTGGGGGGTGGGGGTGAGTTCCTTTAAAACCTTGTGGGTGGGTTGTTTTTTCTAACCCCCCCTCCCCCGCCATTCTCGGACGTTTTCCACTGGAGAACGGAAATTAATGTCGGAAAAGTTCAGCGCTCGATGGCTTTCCTGACCCCGACTCCTGGTTTGGTTTGGTTTTTTAAATACAAACATTTCCCTTAGGGAAAATCCTGCAGCAAAATTTCATTTGACGATGTCCAATTTTCTAACTTTAAAAAATAGTTTCCGCTGGGAAAAAATATAATAAAAATTCAGTTCTGTTTATTTTTCCCTTCTTTCTCCCCCGCCCCCTCTTTTAAATTGCACTGGATTTAATAAAATTTCAGTTCATGTTTTCTCATTCCTGACTTTTAAAATAATTTTTCCAGAGGAAAATTTTTTTTAGTGCAATTTCTGTTCAGAATTCCTTTCCCCTGAATTTTAAAACCATTTTTCCACCTGGGGGACAAGTGTGAATCACATAGCAACATTTCAGTTCTCAATTTCTCTTTTCTCTGTCTACAAAAAGTTTCCACTGGCGGGGGGACAAAAATTCACACAGCAAAATTTCGTAGATCAGGTTTTTTTCCTTTTCTCCGACTTTTAAAATTAATTTGCCGGGAGAAAAGAAAATTAATTGAGTACAATTTCAGTTCCCAATTCCTTTTTCCTGAATTTTAAAACATTTTTTCCACTGGGGGAAAAAAATGAATGTAGCAAAAATTTAATTCCACAATTTGTCCTTTTTTTCTAACTTTTAAAACAATTTTCCACTGGGAAAATAGTGAGAACTGAAATTTTTCTACAATTTCTTGTTCGCTTTCTCCAGCTTAAAAAAAAAGTCCACCAAAAAAAAAAAAATCCATGCAATAACTTTACAACTTTTCACGACTTTTATATTTTTTTTTTCCTGGAGAAAGAATGTATTTAGTGCAATTTCAGTCCTCGATCCTTTCCCCCCAGTTGTCAGACACATTTTTCATGGGAAAAATAATTAATGGAGCCAGAATTTCATTTCACAATTTCTTGGGGGTTTTGGAAATTTTAAAAATTTTCCACTGGAAAAAACAAAGTATGAAAATTTCTGTTCAATTTTTTTGTTCCTTTTTGCATTAGGAGAAAAAAGGGATTGAATCGAATTTCAGTTCACGTTTCCTCGCTTAGGACATTTAAAACAATTTTGCCAGGAGAAAAAAATTCATTCAGTACAATTACAGTTGGTAATTCCTTTTAGTAGGTGCCTTTGGGTAGCCGACCCGGACGCCTGGGTCCCATTTTCCATTCCGGCCTATGGGGGCACTGCAGGACCCCTTCGGGAGCCGTCCCGGACGCCTGGTTCCCACTCCCCATTCCGGGCTCTGAGGACACTGCAGGACCCCTTCGGGACGCCCGGACCCCACTCCCCATCCTGGGCGCTGGAAGCGCTGCAGGACCCCCTTCGGGAGCCGTCCTGGACGCCTGGGTCCCATCCCCTCCTCACCTTTCCCTTCTTGCGCCGGAAGCCTGGGTTGGGGCTGTTGTTCTCATCCTGTGCGGAGGAGGAGGAGGAAGAGTCGTCGTCGTCTGTCTCAGAGCTGCCCCTCTGCCTCGCCTGCACCTTCCCCTCCTCTTCCTCGCTCTTGCTGCCCCGCTTGGCCTTCCTCCTTCCCTCTTTCCCCGTCCCCTTCCTGCTCCCACCCTCCTCCTCCTCACTCTCGCTGCCCCGCTCGGCCTTCCTCCTTCCCATCTTCCCCGTCCCCTTCCTGCTCTCACCCTCCTCCTCCTCGCTCTCGCTGCCCCGCTCGGCCTTCCTCCTTCCCATCTTCCCCGTCCCCTTCCTGCTCCCACCGTCCTCCTCCTCACTCCCAGATTCCTCCTCACTCTGGGCCTTCGTCGTCCTCTTCTTCCTCTCCAGCTCCGCCTCCTTCATTCCCGGCTTCCTGCTCCTACCCTCCTCGCTCCCCAATTCCTCCCACTTCTGAGCCTTTGTCGTCTTCTTGCTGCCCACTTCCTCAGCCTCGCTATCACTCCTCCGCTCGGCCTCCTTCGTTCCCTTCTTCCCTGCCGGCTTCCGGCTCCTATCCTCCTCTTCCTCTTCTGACTCGCTCCCCAATTCCTCCCTCTTCTGAGCCGTCAACCTGCCCCTCTTCCTGCTGCCCACTTCCTCAGCCTCGCTATCACTCCTCCACTCCGCTTTCTTCGTTCCCTTCTTCCCTGCCGGCTTCCGGCTCCTATCCTCCTCTTCCTCTTCTGACTCGCTCCCCAATTCCTCCCTCTTCTGAGCCATCAACCTGCCCCTCTTCCTGCTGCCCACTTCCTCAGCATCGCTATCACTCCTGCGCTCGGCCTCCTTCGTTCCCTTCTTCCCTGCCGGCTTCCGGCTCCTACCCTCCTCTGACTCGCTCCTTGATTCCTCCTCTCTCTGAGCCTTTGTCCTCTTCTCCTTGTTCTCTTCCTCCTCACTATCACTCCATCTCCCTGCCTTCCTCGTTCTCTTCTTCCCTGCCCCTTTTCTGCTCTGACACTCCTTCTCGTTCACCTCAGAGTCGCTCCCCACTTCCATCCCCTGAGCCTTCATCCTTCCCTTTTTCTTGCTGTCCCCCTCCTCCTCGCTATCACTCCTCCGCTTGGTCTTCCCTGTCTGCTTCTGCCGCTCACACTCCTCCTCCTCCACTGCCGATTCACTCCCCGATTCCTCCTGCGTCTGAGCTGTGATCCCCCCATTCGCTTTCCCCTTCTGCTCCCCACAGTCACCCCTCCGCTCTGCCTCTCTCGCTCGCTTCTTCCCCGGCCGGCCCTGCGCCTCGGCTCCCTCTGCTCTCCTCCTCGGGGGCTGCTTCGTTCCCTCGCTGCCGGCCGCCCATTCGGAGTCGCGCTCTCTGCCGGCGCCACCCCGGTCTGGTGTCTCCTCTGCCCCAGAGTCCCCCTCGTCCTCACACGATCCCGTGTGCCTGGATTTCCCGGCATCCTCCTGGCCAGGAGCCAGTTTCGGCTTCCTCGAATCAATCCCAGAATCCTCCTCATCAGAACTGGCCTCTGGAAACCAGACGGGGAAGAAGGAGTTAACCAGAGCTAGGACGCGGGGGCTGGGCACAGGAGGATCCCTCGCCCGGTGCTGGGACGCGGCCCCTCTGGGGCGGGGGGGCTGGGCACACGGGGACCCCCACTGGGCGCTGGGACGTGGCCCCTCTGGGGTGTGGGGGGGCACCTGCTCACCAGAACCCTGATCCAGTCGCTGTTTCTTTCTCGCCATGTCCTTGGGGCCCCCCCGCGACGAGTCGGAGCCGCTGCGGGGTCGCTTCTCAGCCCCGACGTCAGGGGCGTCCCGGGCGCTCTCGGGGTTCGGGGACCCCCCGTCGGAACTGGAATCATCCAGCTGCTGGCACAGGCCAATGAGGTTACACAGGAACCCGCCCCCGCCGAGCCCCCCCTCACTTCCCCGCCGAGC